TTATTTCTTGAGAAAAGGGGATTATTCCTTGGTGTATTGGGGTTAAATAAACACTTTTCTGCTCATTATTAGATGATATGTCTTTATGTTCCTATTCTCCGGCTGGTGGGTGTGCATTCGGGGGAGGTGGAACTGAAATGATCGTGATAGACTCCACACTCCATTTACCTGTATAGGGTTCATTGCAATTTCTTACTGGATGCCTCTATATGTAACAATGATAGCATAAGGTGGCTTTCATGATTGCTCCTTCGAAACCATAACACCTTTTGCAATTTCTTTTCTGCAGGAGACTGTTAGGAGTTATACAGACAAATTAAAACTCTTGAGTCATAACCTTGACCTTTCTTACCGGCTCGAATGGATTGGCCAACGTAAAGTACTGCTTACAAGACATGGCCTTGAGATAGCCAGTTTCCCATTATAGTCAGGCAACTGCAAGAAATATTTTCCTTGAAAACCTGAGCAGTCCTTCATTGGATACATTCTATTTGTCTGGTAGATGAGGTCCGACCATGTATATTCAGGTAGCCCTTGAATGCATTATTATGTTTTAGGTTAATACAATCAATTTTGGTGAGGAGATCATGTATGTATTTTACTTCAATTTTTGACAAACAAAATCAAGTTCACGTGTGTTCTAATTATGTTAAATATAGTTGCAAGACAAAATATATAAATAAATATTTTTTAAACTTCACAAATAAAATTGAACTGTTCAACATGCCCATCATCATCATCATCATCATCTATATATATAAAAGAAGCAATGAGAACATAAATGCTTTGGATGACATTTCATTTGGAAGGATATATATTATCATGTATACATATATAAGAAGGGAATGATGATAGCAAATGACGCTGAGGAGTGGGTGCAACGATCTCTTATTCTTACTCTCATAATTAGTACAGTTTTGTGACTCAACTTACCTTGACTTTGCTACATGCAGTTCATTCCCCTCACGCTACCTCCAGTCCTCCATTCTTCCATGTCATCATCCTCAATCTCATGATCCAATTAACTTCAATATTACCAATATTAATTTTGGGGATGGAATTGGATAATTCCTTGATATTTTGTAATTGAATTACAGTAACAAAATCTCTTCTAATTTTCCAAAACTTTTTGTTTTTTTAAAATGAGAAGTAACTGATAACTAAAACATCCCTGTTTTTCTTTTGTAATTAACCAACAGCCATGAAAAATATTATTACTCGTACTATTCAATGAGGGGCATCAGGATCACTATTGAAAAGGGTCTATAAATAACAAATTAGACCAAACCAAAGGTCATCCAATTATAAGTCACAATGAGGTCTGGTGAAATGGTATGGGGTTTGGTCTTAGGCAGCATCTTGGCCATGGCGCCTAGTCGTCACAATGGACTAGCCTTGGAGGTCTCCGGTTTGCCTGCCACAGGTTATGACTACAAGGATGCACTTCACAAAGCAGTCTTGTTCTTTGAAGGACAACGTTCCGGAAAGTTACCGGCGACACAGAGAGCGAAGTGGAGGGGAGACTCTGCACTCACTGATGGCCAACCTGATAAAGTACGGCTGGCAAATTAAAAACTTCGGAGTATATATTGTTATATACTGAGCTAGACTAGTATTGATGTTTCAACAAATTTAACTAGCTGTTATTTTCATCTTCATGCTAATTTGGTCATCCCAGTAGAAACAATAGAACAGTGATGCTTAGTATATATCACTGACTGCTAAATTCCGATTCTTGACAAATAATTTTTATAGTTTAGGATTTGCTTTCTCTTGCAGGTCAATCTAGTAGGAGGTTACTATGATGCTGGCGACAATGTAAAGTTCGGATGGCCTATGGCGTTCACAGTCACCCTGTTAAGTTGGGCAGCTGTTGAGTTCCGGCAGGAAATCTCTTCGGCCAATCAGCTGAACCACCTCCGCTCCGCCATCCGTTGGGGCAGTGATTTTATTTTGCGAGCCCACACTTCACCCACCACACTTTATACCCAGGTCTGTGTCAGCTTCTTGCATAGTATTTGCATAGAGTACTGCTGTTTTTTTTTTCCGCAATCAATCTGGTTATTTTATTAATAAAAAGTTCGGTACAAGCCTTGGCCGAAGCCATCCAAGACTCTTACAGCCAATACAATACAGAAACCTGACTGGTTCTGAGCCTACACACAGAAGTAAAAGATTCCTTACATAGAAACTCAAACTCAGCCCTGCTTGTCAAAGATGCGTACGTCTAATTCAATTAAAGATTATTAACCAGAACGAAATAGAAAAGGAATAGAAATTGTAAGGTTACCATTAGAATGAGTTTTGTCTCTTACTATTTGATGCTTATTGCTAGAACATCATTGGTATCTATTTGCATTTACAGGTGGGGAACGGAGATGCTGATCACCAGTGTTGGGAGCGTCCTGAAGACATGGACACCCCTCGAACGCTCTACAAGATCACTTCTGATTCACCAGGCACTGAAGCAGCAGCAGAGGCTGCTGCTGCCCTTTCTGCTGCTTCATTAGTCTTCAAAGGGGTTAAGTCCAATTATTCTAGAAGGCTGTTAACCAAATCAAAATCAGTTAAGGGGTTGGTTAAATTTAGTTCCTTTATGCCTACCAAGCTCTCCTGTGCATTTAATCTCATTCATTTTGCTTCACAGTTATTCGAATTTGCAGACAATTATAGGGGATCTTACAAAGATTCTTGCCCTTTCTACTGCTCTTTCTCAGGATATCTGGTAAAACGTCAAGCTTCATGTAGATATGTTGATAAGTATATTAGTCATCACTTTTTTTCGATTTGAGCTTACCCATTCCGAATTTTCGTCAGGACGAATTATTATGGTCTGCAACTTGGCTATACAAGGCAAGTGGTGATAACAAGTACTTTAGCTATGTTTTGAGCAACCAAGGATGGAGTCAGCAGGTATCAGAGTTTAGTTGGGACAACAAATTTGCTGGAGCTCAGGCATTACTAGCAAAGGTATAGCAAAAAAAAAAAACAAAAACAAAAGCGCTGTACAATCCTATGTCTCCTATTTATAAAGATTTTAACAGAATTTAGTTCAGGAATTCCATGGTGGGAAGAAGGATTTGTCTAAATATAAGACTGATGTGGAATCATTTATATGTGCACTGATGCCAGGGAGTAGCTCTGTACAGATTAAAACAACTTCTGGTATGAATAACTAATTACTAAGTTTTCTGCATAGTGTATTTGAAGGGTATGGTTCTCACAAAGCTTAACACATTTTCTGGTTTGTTTTCAGGTGGGCTTTTGTACATAAGAGATAGTGCTAATTTACAGTATGTTGCAAGCTCCTGCATGGTGCTATCTATCTACTTGAAAACCTTAAATGCGTCTCAAATCGATGGAATCCAATGTGGCTCCGCCCATTTCTCTGCCTCCCAAATCAGAGAATTTGTAAAATTACAGGTACATTTATGATCTAAATTAATGTAAGAGAAATCACATCAAACCCAGAATGGGTTTCATTGATTTATTGATGCAGGTGAATTACATCCTGGGAAACAACCCCATGAATATGTCATACATGGTTGGATTTGGAAGCAAACATCCGATGCAGCCTCACCATAGAGGCGCATCCATCCCTTCTATCCACAGTCACCCGACCAAGGTGAGCTGTAATGATGGCTACTCGAGTTATTATTCTTCTGACAATCCAAACCCAAATCAACATGTTGGAGCCATCGTTGGAGGCCCTGATTCAAATGACCATTACAATGACCAAAGATCAGATTACTCTCATGCCGAACCCACAACTTACATTAATGCAGCTTTTGTGGGTGCAGTGGCTTCTTTCCTTGATGAAAGCAAGCAGCAGCCTCTGCAGCTGCTGCAGATTAATGGAACCATAAGTAAGATTGACTCTATGTAATTCACCAGCACTGCATGCAATTTAAAACTTCCAGGGAATATCTATGCCTCATCTACATAGTTGTAAAATATCTAATAAAGGATTTTAGTTTTATAAGTATATATGATGCATCCCTCTGATCCTCTTTTGACTGGTTCAACCCGAAGCTTAAGCAACAAATCAAAGAGTCAAAGCCAGATGTGTACGATTATGATCAATAGCCGAAGCCTGAAGAACTAGAATTCTGACAAATCAAATCATTTGACTACAAACCTTATTAAAACTAATCACAGTTGCATAGATAATGCCAGAATATCATCATTTATTAAAGATCTTAAACAATTTATCGTAAATGATTGTACAATACTTCATATATGGGTACACGCCATTGAGATTTTCCGGTTTTCTTTTGTACGAAAAAGTTGCACAGTAGCAGAATATAACTTCATGATAAAGCAATCATTTCCACAATTGCAATGGTAGGATCATAGAATATATTATTATAAACTGTAGATGACATAACAAAAGCATGCTTGAGGCTTAGAAATGGAACTATTACTACTACTATTACTGTTAATATATTTGACTGCCGTTATCCAATACAGTTTGGTGGATTCGACCTTAATTTCCAAAGAAATGCAAGTTGGCTTGAGCTAAATTGGATAAATAGTATTAAAATGACACTAAAAGCTGTGTTTGTTTCCCGGAAATTAACTTTTAGGGAAAAATTGTTTTTTTAAAATAAATATTGATATTTTTTATTCTAATGTTTTTATTAAAAATTTAAAAATAAAATATTTATTATTAACATTCAACATTTACTATACAACTGTTGTTTGACTAGATTGTACCATCTTCCACATATTTGGTTCTACATATCAATCACTTTATATCAAGGTGTTTCATATTAAAAAGACTATAAGGCTGTTTTATATATAGTTTATTCACTTTATATTTATTTTTTTGATCACCGAAGTTACCAAATATCCATGAAAATTAATTACCAATAAAATACATCTAATATAATAATTACTAAATAATAGATGACGATCATGAGAGATTAAAGTTATTGAAAAAGTTATAGACCTATATGGCATTCTAATAACTAAGTATATACTATTTTAGTAACCCTATGTTAGTGAATTTCCGTAAAAATTAAATATTTTAGTAATTTTATGTTATCGAATATCATAGAAAGTTATTGAAAAATACGTTTTATAGATGAAAATTAAAAAAATAATTATGTATTTTAAAGTTATTGACTTTACAGATCGAGATTATTAAAAAAAGATTATACACCCTTTGATATTCAGTATAATTGTATATCTAATATTTTAATATCTTGAGTTATTGAATATTTATTAAAGCTATTAATAGAGTATCGAAAGGTTGCTATATAATTATAAAAAGTTACTAACAGAGTATATCTAAAGTTATTAAATAATATATTTATATATGTGTGTGTGAAGTTTAAAAAAAAGAATTATATATTTTAAGGTCATTGATTTTATAAATTAAAATTAAAAAAAAAGCATATATAAATATTTGATATTTTGTACTTGAATATTTAATTTTTCAACAACACTTAGTTATTGAATATTCATATAATAAACAAAAAAAAAAGTATAGGGGAGATATATTTATTTCGTTTTACAATGAAGTAGCTGATGATGTGGGTAACTAAAGATTTAATCAATGCAAATTAAACTTTTAGATGTAATTGGTAATTTGTGAAATATAAGAACGAAAATTGATATTTAAATCAAGCCTTACAAGTTAGAAACAACAAGTTCAAGTGGTTAACTGGTTGCTTGGGTTGGTTTTTCATTGTAATTAACTCCATTTCTTTATTTATTGTCAACAACATACTTTCACCTATATATATATATATATATATACACATAAATAATTTTTATTATTTATAATTATGATAATCTTGCAAGAAGATGGATTACAGAGAATTAAAGTGCAAAAAGAAACAAAAAAAAAACCCGATGGAGAACTGCAATTTCGGTTTATACATGGCTTGTGCCTGGCCTAGCTACGTACATAAGAGGCTAAAGACTAAGTTCAGCAACCACCAGTTAAGGTTGCAGATTCATTCATGGACCATAGTTCATCAGACAAATCGGGAAATTGGTCTAGAAAGAGACCTTCAAAGTTCTCTAGGCTTTGATCTAATTCGTCACTCAACATTATGTCTGGCGTGTGAATTTTGTCCCCGTCACCATCTTCAAGCATTTGTTCCTCCACCTTCATTCTCCAATCTTGTTGCGCAGACTCATCTTTCATGGTTGTTGGAGAAAGAACCGTTTCTGCTGCCTCACGGGGTTCATTATTGCTGGCAGGACTTTTAGATGTTGAAGATGACTTGCTGCGAGTGCTTCCTGCAAGCGAGCTTCGGCGAGTTGGGTGGCCATGGCTGTGCTCAGCGGTGTAGGTTATGATAAAGATTCGAGGATCCGAACAGCTACGCTCTACTTGCTTTCTCGCCAAACATCCTTTTGAGCTGCTGCACCTATAATAGCTCCTGTTTTTCAATTCAACCAAGCAAACAAGTTTATTCAATGACATGAAGAAAATTAAGTAAACCTTCAAACTCTCTAGCTTGATACCCAAAAAGGAATGATAAAGAAGAGAGAGATTTTTACCTTGGATATGGCGACCCCTTGATAGGTTTCTGTCCATATTTTCGCCAAGCCCATATATCTGACGAAAGACCATCAGCTGTTACATGCTTCACCACTCTATCTTGCTGATTCTTCCGGCTGAAATGTGTGAATTTTTCAACATCAATGGATTTTGGAATTCCAGTAATCAATTTCTTACTATTAAAAGATAAGCAATGATTTTACAAACCTGGATCTTTTAGGTTTGGCTGTTTGAGTAGAATCTTTATTTGTACCAGAAGCAGCAGACTGAGAAACAGGCTGCTGCTTCTTTTGGTCCTCTGGTTTCTCCACATCTTGAGGGACTGGTAGGGAACTGGTAATAATGGTTTGTGTGGAAAACGGATTGAACTCAGGATAGAAAGGCTTGTAAAGTTCCTCCAACTCATCTAAAACTTTAGGGTTCGTTTCAAAAACATCTGGGAAACTCATAATTAGATCTTCCTGTTGAAAACTCCAAGGATCAAAACCGAATGGTGGGTTTTCCATATCGGGGATAGAGGCACCATTGCTGCTTCCTCCAACTACCGCTCGCAAATCCCAGTTCTCCATGTAGAATTCACTCATCAACAACTATTTATTTATATTCCATGAAAAAGAAAAAGGAGAGATCTAAGAGAGAAAACTAGGAGATAAAGAGAGCAAAGAGTGGCGCTGACTTTGGAGATTTGTCAGAGGATTGTGATGAGGAGATATGAGAGGAAAATCTGAAAACAAGGCCGTTGTCTATATACTGGAAGGAAAGAGGGGATTGTTTTCACTTGAAGTTAAGCAGCAATTGTGTAAGTCCGGTTTTGCATTTCCACTGAGTTGACATTTTGAAAAGTCAAATCGTTATAACTGTGGAAGCAGCCTGTATATATCTATATATTCAGCATTTCATACAGTTTTTTGCTCTTCTGGAATGCCTAGTTGTCAATTGTTGCCGTTCGGTGACTTCAATAGGTAATACTGGCGTCGGTGAGAAAGGAATTCACCTCAAATGATCTGTTGAATACTATTTCACTCCATTGATGAGCTGAATAAATACTATGGAATTAAGTTTATTTCAACAAAAGTACCGCTGCTAACTGCCAAAGCAGTCATCTGTGACAAAACACCATTCGGAAATTGTGAATGTACTATAAAAGGTTTATGTTAATTCACTTAGCATGAACCACGATAAACCTGTCTCTTTCCTTTTGAGCAACTTGAACTTATCTGATAATAAGATGCATGGTTGGAAGATAAAATTTTAGGCAGAAATATTTTATATTTGAGCTGCAAATTGCTTTTCCAGAAATATTACGAAAGCCATATATATAGATATCCGACCATGGAAATCTAAGAATTAACATGCTCGAATTCGATGGAAAGCAATAGAGCATGGCTATGTCACATACCCCATATATTGCCAGTTTGCATATAGGGCAAGGTTGGTCCCTATTCTCATATGCATTTGAAACCATAGGTTTGTCTTTTAACTTTTAAGGCTAACATCTCTCATTCCAAGGAGGTCCTGTTTAGGGTTCATCGGCTTATCCTGCCAGTTCTTTGATCAACTAAACAATTGCTAAAGGATTCAAAACCGGGACCAAACGCGTAAAAAACTCATAGTCAAGGAAGAAACTGTGGAAATATATGACCAGTAGCTGTCTGCAACTTGCAAAGTGCAAGACAGTTCTGTCATCAATACTCCATTTGCAGCCTGCAAAAGATCATGCACAAAGGCTTGAGCTCAGCAGCTTGAGGGTATGGCTTATGGGTCTTTGGCTATGATATCTATTGAATAAGACCAAAAAAAAAAAAAAAAGAAGAAACATATCATTACGTGAACTGAGGGAAAACTCAAAAGAAATGGAGCTTTTGGACCACAAAAGACAGCCACTACTGCTACTACCAGTAGTACCATGAGAATATTTTCTTGGCCCCTTTTGTCAATAACTTCATCCTCCCATTTGGCCCTCCTACATCATTTTCCTAGTAACCATATAGGAAGCTACAAGCTAGAAAAGTTTGAAAAAAACGAAATATATCGAAGGCTCTTTGATTTGGTCTTCGAGTGCTGCACCACGCGGAAAGGAAGGGGAAATTTCTTACAATTGGTAAAAAACGAACTGAAATCCAAGAAACCAGATTTCTCCAAGTCTTAGTCTGGTTTCGTTCAACATTTCCTGCTGTCTATATCCCTTCTACTACGTGATAACAACTAGATATACAATATAAAAATAATTGACTTAGATTTTTTTTCCCTATCACCGGCCAGTTTTGAGAGTAACAAAAAAGGACATAAATCAACTTGCCAACCGACGTTTGAAAGGAAATAACGTAATAAACAATCAAGATAATGTTTGAAAATAGTAACCCTTTGTCTTGTTTTCTTTTTTTTTTTTCTATAATGACGTATATATTTGACTCTTTCAGCACGTGAGACTTTGACTAGGTTTTCAACGCATTTGCAATTCTTCTCTACCTGTTCCAGCGCACGCTGCACCCATCAAGTGCTCGTTAAAATATAAATGCCTAATTGGGAATTTATTATTCAGTTTGGTGGCATTAAATGAATCCGAACAAACTTATATGTATTGTAACATAATGCTGTTATTTTCAATAATACTAGTCATAATAGTTTTTAGGATATAATATTTTGAAAATTTTAAATAAGTTTTTCTATTTTTATTATGTTTAATAAAATTTTTGTACTTTTAATCAAAGTTAAGTAAGTTTTTATATTTTTATATTAAACTAAATAAATTTTTATAATTAATAATTAATTTATTAAAAATATTATTTATTATGATATACTGACATGTCGTAATGAAAGATAATATAATATGACGATATGATCATATGATATTTTCACTTTTTATATCAACATCATATGATATGAAATGATAAATAACATTTTGAATAGATTAACCACAAGTAATAAAAGTTCATTTGATTTAAAATAAATATACACAATCTTGATATAATGTTATAGAAGAATAAAAAATTATTTATATTTTTTAAAAAATAATTCAGGAACTGTTTATTTTGAACAAAAAAATATTTGATTTAAAGGGGATGGCGAGGGCGAAGCCCAGTTAACCACGTCAGCCCAAAGGGAATAAACCCTGAATGCTAATATATGAAGTCTTTGTGGCCCAAAAAGGAAAAGAATGGAAGGTCCATCGAGCCCGATCTTAAGCAGACGGTTAAAACATGACTCACCACAATTCAAAACTTCAATCTCATTTCGCGCCACTTCCTCATAACCAACGAAACAATGGACGATCTCTGCAAATCTTCGATGAAATTCTTCGCCGATCAACAGCTCTGCTACGCCGACGTCCTCCCTCCTCACGAGGTAATCGTCTTCATCATTATCCGTCAGTCATGGTTTGATCCTCTTTCGTTTGTCTCAAAACATCGAAATCTCTCTTTCAGGTTCGAGCCAGAATCCAAGTCGCCGTCCTCAATTTCCTCAAGATCTTGAACTCTCCTGATCCCGCAATCTCCAATCTCCCTCTAGTAACGAAATATTTTTTTTTGTTTGATTGCTCAGAAAGTTGAGGAAATATTTTTTGAGTTGTTTTCTTCTTCTTCTTCTTCTTCTTTAATCAATTACTGATATAGATCAATAGGAAGTCGAGTAATAGCAGAGTGAGGGAAGGGCTCTTCACCGAGGTTTCTTGGCTTTTTCTGTCTCACTCCTTTTCTAAAAGATCATTGATGAGAGCCAACGCAGCTAAGGCCTTTATTAGGGGTATTTTCTTTTGTAATGGATTTAACTTTTGGCTATTTTTTTGCCTTTGTTCTTAAATTAAATTGGTTCTTGATCTTTGTTCCTACTAAAAATGAAGTGTGGAAGGTTATGGAGATGTGCTTTGAAATTCTGACTGAAGAGAAGCAAGTCACACAGAGGGAGCTTTTTTACAAGCTGCTCTGTGATTCACCAGATTACTTCTCATCTCAATTGCAGGTCAACAGGACAATTCAAGGTCACTTCTCTGAGTTCTCACTTGTTTATAATTGATACTGATGATTTTAGAAGATGTTCGTGTTGGATGTAAGGGTTTTTTAATGTCATGTTAATGGTTCAAATAATTGAGAACTTTGTGTCACAGATGTTGTAGCATTGCTTCGATGCAGCCGAAACAGTCTTGGGATCATGGCATCTAGCAAAGGACTTGTTGCTGGGCGTATCTTGTTTCAGGTACTTCAATTCTCTTTCCTGTTATGTATTATTGCATTGCAAATACCATAATCTTATGCGGGAAAAGAATATACTGGCCGCTTGCTTCTTTTGTTTTCTAATGTAACAATGTACATGCAAACATGGGTGATTCCTTGCTTTTTTCTCTTATGGACCATATGACAGGAGCCAAACCAAGAGGTTGTGGATTGTTCTGCTTGTGGGTCTTCCGGATATGCAATTTCTGGTGATCTGAAATTGTTAGACAGCTTGATTATGAAGACAGATGCCCGTTATATTATTGTCGTTGAGAAGGTGCTTTCTTCATTGAAATCCAATCAGACAGCACTATGAATTTATCATCCCCAAATCCAATTAATAAACATTCTTGCATGGTCTGGGTTGCAGCATGCAGTATTTCAGAGATTGGCAGAAGATCATGTATTTAACCAGATTCCAAGCATTCTTCTCACAGCAAAAGGTTATCCAGATATAGCCACAAGGTATTGATAGTGTTTAAACCATGTTCTACTTAACCCTGTTCTCATTTCGATGCTTCATTGTAATCACAACCTTGAATGCCTGTTAGATTTCTTCTTCACCGAATGAGTGGGGCTTTTCCAGATTTGCCAATTTTGGCACTGGTTGACTGGTACGGATCTCCTGCAAATGCCGTGGGTTTCTCTTTTCCTAAGTAATACAATTAAAAGACAGTAAACCGGTTTCACACAACTTTCATTTGTTCGAGATGACTGTTTTGGATTCTTCAACTTGATTATAGCAAACAGCTGTGCACCCTTAAAACTGATAAACTTCAAACTTGAACCTTTCTAGGAATCCAGCCGGATTAGCTATATTATGTACCTACAAGTTTGGAAGCATAGGGATGGGTCTAGAGGCATACAGATATGGTACTTTCTTCAAGTCACGCCGAATTGCACCAGTTTTGTGTCTAACATGTAAAATGTATGATATTTTCTATGTCTGCATCATTCAGCTTGCAACGTGAAGTGGCTGGGACTGCGAGGCGATGATCTACAACTGATACCTGAACAATCTTTAGCTCCACTAAAGCCACGGGACCTGCAAATCGCTAAAGGCTTGACTTCCTCAGTAATCTTGCAGGTGCATCTCTGGTCAGATAACGTGAAAACTGCTCTCTCCATATGGTTTTAAGAGTCTCTAAATGGTGTTCAACAGGAGAACTACAGGGACGAGTTGGCATTGATGATGCAGAGTGGTAAGAGAGCAGAGATCGAAGCTCTATACTTTCATGGATATGATTATCTGGGGAAGTATATAGCAAAGAAAATTGTCCAAGCCAATTACATCTAACAATACTTATATCAGTATCATCCGATAGAGAATCATGCATCAGAACTATGCCATTGATAAAAACAGGAGAGATCTAACTACAACGGAAGTATGGTGGGCTAGCAGAGCTAGTAGGGTTTTATAATATAGAGATCTAACGACAACGGAAGAGAGCACAGCTATGGCCAAGCCAGTCCTCAAAAGCATGGGGGGCCTATCATGGATCGTTGTCCCCCAATACTTAATCATACTAGCAGTTTAACGTCGACTATTTGACCAAGTAAACGCAGATTAATGAGAACAGAACAATTTCTTTTGTTTCCTTCTCCATTGAAGACAAAAAGGTGCATATAAGGTGAGATATAGGGTACAAACATCCCATGCCTAAGCCAATTCTATGAAAATTTTTCTTGAATAATGAATACTCCTTGCAGTATAAATTTCAGCATTGCCAGCCTCCGACTCTTGTCCTTCAGACAAGTTTCATATCAGCAATGATTTTTAAGCTGATAAAATAATACAAATGAAGTATGAATATCAGAAAAAAAAAAGAAATTAATAATTACTATTACAAAAGAGGCATGAACCAAGACTTATATAAATATGCTACTAATTCAGTCTCAGCATATACAGGCCGCTACAGGAATATCTCAGAATTGTATCAAAATTTAACTGCTTGATGTTAGACTCACTCGCTTTCCCTCCATGGAAAACTTATTACTGCCCGCAAGCTGTGGCCAAAAACAAGAAATGCCAGAATTCAGAATCCATTACAAAATCACAAAGAAATGAAGAGAAGAAGCTGATATCATCTAGCATGAAGAAAAGTAACTTTGACAAGCATTAACAAAACCAGAACGTAGAACACCTTTCGTTTCAAGTAGGCAAGGGCATCTTTCTTTGAAGAAAAGTCAGAAAAAACTAAGGATGACCGTTCATCAATAAGAACTTTCAGCTGTTTTAGTTTTAATGACTCTCCAGGTACCTGAAATAGGCAGATTGCTATTAATTAGAGAAAAAGTTGCAGCACAATTTAATACAGCTTGCATTTTAAATCAATTACCTGACGAAGAAGCTGTTTACATAGCCTTTTCAACTTCAATTTTGGTTCATCAGCTTTTTCCATTTCTTGTGCATTATCACGCATTCGTTTTGCTGGGGGACCAACATCATTGGAATCCTCATCATCGCTATCACTAAATGACGTCTTTTTCCCCTGAAAGCGAACTCCAGCAATTTTCTTTGGTTGATCTTTAATGCCCAGACCTTGCTTTCCAGTTGTGGCTTTATCCTAAAATTTTTTGAATAAAAGGCATATATTACTTACGTAAACCAGTACCGTCTAGCTCCTTTAATATAATCTCTTTAATATAATCTCAATAGTCCCACCATACTACTACATTTACTTACAATAAAAGCATGCAGAATCATCAATCAAAGTGCCACTTATTCAAGAGAGTTGTTATTGTTTCATCTTCAGATTACAGGTTAAATTAAAAGGAAATTTATAATTATTCTCTTCATCAAACAAATAACTTTACCACAGTTTTCATACAACAAAATTTGAAATGGTGAAGACACATACTTGCACAAGCTTGTAGAGATTCTCTTGGTCATCTTCAAAAAATACAGTTCTCTCAGTTGAATTTTTAGACTCTCCAGTTTTGATTGCTTTCTTTCTGGTAGATTCTCCCAGAAAGCCTCCAGAGACAAATCCATATTTATGGCCCCACCATTCTGGAGAAACACTTTCAGCTTTATGTCCTGTAACAAAGAGCCAAGTTATCTCAGAAACAACCAACAGCTGCAACCAGCAAAAAGCAAGCAAGTTACAGAAATAGGCCAAGAATATCATTTGCCAGCAAAAGGCTATGGCAGGTCTTCAGGTATATCATAAATATACTCTGAGGAAAAAAGAAATCCAAATTTATTTCTAGTCTGACTATCCATCTTCAACATAACTGCCTGATAACAACTCTACATAAAAATTCCAGAACATAATGCAATGGAAAAAACACCTTACCGCAAGAATTTACACCAAGTATTACCTTCAGTAGGAGGATCGCGACTTTCAGTTGTCTCTATCAACTCCATTTCACCACCCACATCAGGATTAGCCTGTGGTGACTCCTCAACCTTTTTGACCTATTGCAAAAGATGCAGGGGTAAACATACATTGATTGATTAAACCAAAAATTCTGAATGTAAAGGATGCATGAAATCAAATGCTAATAGCAATAACAAGGGCAAAAGATTTTTCGAATAGAGGACTAGACAATTCCATCAAACAAAACATAGGAACTATTTTGTAATGCTTATTTCAATTTCCTTACGGAGTTCTAAGATCATTTAGCATTTAACTGAAACATACAAAATATTTTATGGCTGAATCACTGTTTAAAAATTGCTTTCATTTTCCGCCTTTCTAACTCAAGTCTCAAAGTTGCTTTGTCTGTCCACCTTTCTAACTCACATAGAGACATCTGGAATTTGTTCCAAAAGTTCAGACTCGAAGGTGAAGGTAACACCACATCTCCCTAATGCTAATATGAAACAATGAGAAAATTGAACAAGTATCTACAATTCTACTGACAGTTAGACTTATTACCACACCCAAGAAGACACAAATATAACAGAATTACTTTTTCCTAGAGCTCTCATGGGTTTCTACACCAGAAAAATCTTGTTGTGAGTAAATTGGATGGTGTTAACACATTAAATTTGAATAATTTTGAACCAAACACAGATTATTTTACAGTCTGATCTGATGTGATATAGAATTATTTTGTATCTTGAAAGGGACAATGGTGGCCAACAAACATCACATACTGAAATATGAATAAAAAGGACATCATTACCACAGTGTCAAACAGGTACTTTTAACAGTCTGAATAGCTTTGAAGAAAACAAAGGTGATAAGACATACTGAAGTTTTAGAACTTACAAGTATTCCTTCAAGATCCTTTGAAGAATATGCAAGAACAAGCTTTCCTCTCTCTCTTTTCTTATATCTAAGGAACCAAACAGAGTAAAAACAAGAGCAAATGAAATCAAATATCAACTAAATAGTTGGCAATAATCTCCTATCACTAAAAATACAATTACAAACAAACATGAAATAAATGCACCAACCTTCCCTGTGGCCGGGTAGTCTTGACAACTTGTTCTTCAGCATCATTAGACAAATTGGTCTCAGTTTCTACTTGATTTTCATTCTTGTCAACTGTTAAGTAAATTCAAGTTACTTTCTTTTGAAGTATTAGCAACAAAATTTCTTAAGGCAACAAAACTTTGAGAAACTTGAGTCACAAAGTAGAATAATGGTAACACAATGCAATTTTTCATGCCTTTTAAGAGTAAATTCAAGTTACTTGTCAATCAATAATCTACTAGTATGAGCAATATGAGAAGAATTTCTCTTTTGGCATCAATCATACCTTCATCATTGGTTTGCGCAGCTTGCTGCTAAAAATCCAAAAGAGAAAAGAAGGAAAACCAAAAAAGGATGAGCTTCACGTCAAATCAGACGCCGTCTAGCGAATCAAAGTCAGCAAAATTAAGAATGAAATACGCACCACTTTCAATCTTTTGAGAATACTATCAAATTGAGCTGTATCAAATGCCCACGGATTCGGCTTATCCAATCCAACACCTGCTCCATATTTTTCAAAAACAAGAATCCATTTGTATAATACTTTTCATCATTTCCTCATATTCTCATTCTCCAGAAAGTAATTCAATATCTATATACACTAAACAGGTCAAAAAACCTAAGTAAAAGACAAAGCAAAGAGAAACGTACCAGTCGTGTCCTGTTTGTTTTTAACTCTAACGTAACCTTTGATCCCTTGCTTATCTTTGCCAAGCCCTTCTCCTTCTTCCCATCCCTAACCGCGCCATCCAAACAACAAAGATTACAAATTAGAAAATACGCGTATAGATACAAATATACACACGGACATACATATCTATGAAGACGCACCATTTGCTTCATGAGGCGAAAAGCAGCAGATTGGCGAGCGATGCCGACGTAGCAGAGAGGAGCTTCGGGTGCAGCCATGTTTGCTTCTTCTTTTTCTTCCTCTCTGCTACGCCGCCGACAACGACAGTTAGCCGTGCTTTAGAAGGATGAGAAGTGAGAAGAAGGAAGAGGTTTTAGAGGGAGCTCTAAGAAAAACCTAAGTCGAAAGCTAGGGCTATGCGGTGCTTCGATGATTTTTTTGGAGTTCGGTGGACGCGCGGTGATCTAGCGGTAAGAGTTAATTAAGATGGGATTAGGGGTGCACGTTTCGCGTGTGCGTTGTTTGTTTGGAGTGTGGGTCCCTTTTAATCAGTTTTGATGAGTGGCTGATATGATGGTTGTAAGCGCTTATTCTGGTTCCCCTTTGGCATTTGCTTCCCAACGGTTGGTATTTTACCTACCGCACGTACGATTAAAGGACGACGTCGTTTCTTCGGCACTTGCTGTGGGACACTTGCTTTGTCTGCGGGTCGGGTTCTGGACAGCATTTTTCAAGCCCAATTCGGGTCAACCTTAAAGATTATTACATACTTATTTAATTTTAATTTTAAAATCGATTTAAAAATATTAATATAAAATTTTAAATAATAAAAGGATTGAATGTACGAATAAAATCAAGTGAAGCTCGAGCTTAGATTTTAAAAGCACCAATTGAGTTTGATTTGATCAATAAACACTTTCAGTTAAGCCATAGGTAAATTATTTTTGAAATGGTAATGTTTTGTTTTAATAAATCATTTTTTCTTATTCTTTTGTCATGCACTAATTTTTAATTTTATTTTTTATGAATTTGACAATGTTACAATAATTAATGATGCTTCTTGATAGATAAGAATGTCAATAGCAATGAAAGATAACCAAAGATAATTTACCACTTATTGTAATAATAATGAAAAAACAGTGTTGAGGTTAATAACTTAATGAAACTTTGTCGAAAACCAATGAAATAAATAAATAACTTACTTAGAATGATGGATTTCATTATCTAATAACTTAAAATCACTTTGAAACTTTACAGTGTCATTAATGATTTTTTTTCTAATTTAGAACCGATGGTAAAATTTGTACATTGAAAGAAGAATAAATACTATGAGTATATGCACACCATTTGATGTACCAAAAATAAAAATAGGGATAAGGTTTAATTTACCACTTTATTTTAAGTGATAAATCAAATTCATCAATCACTTTTAAATGGATGTAATTTTATCATTAAATTTTATAATGTGACTTAAAAATGTCAAAAGTTAATAAAATAATATTTTATAAGAAAATAAACTAATATTTTTATATAATCATCGTTGCGTGCTTGATTCCTCAAATATTTTTCTAATTAAAAAGTATTTGGAGGATATTATTCATATTTTGTTGTGTTTTGCTCCTACAATACTAGTGTCAATAAATCTTGATTTAAAGTATCCTGAACGTCATAAAAAATGAATAGTATCTATGGACACCAACATCTGTGGTGTCACAAAGTACACCTCCACCACCTCAAGACTGGGTGATACTCAATGTTGACGGAGCTTAGTAAACTTCACGCAACCAATCCATTGCGGGAGGTGTTTATCATGACCACTTTGAGAATTGGAAATACGATTTTTTTGATTAAATTTGAAAACTGTTTTACACATCGAGTAAAATTATTAAATGTTTATGGGAATTTATTGATGGCATAGGATGAATGATGTTGTAAAGTGATTTTGATTATAAGTCATTCAAATGAAATCACATGAATAAAATATTAATTTATATTTGATTTTGACTATTAAACATCTTTTAAAGAATGAATGATTAGTTATTATATTTTGTGAATCAAATAGTTGATTTTTTTATAAATATTTTATTCATACAACGCTTCTTATGGATCTTTTCAAGACAGTGTTTTAAATTTTATTAAATAATATTATGAAAATTTTATTTTTACTTTTTATTATAACATAAACATACTATTTTAATTTTTTTTAATTATAATTATCCAAAATAAGTGAAAAATTTGTTCTATTATCATAAATAGAATGGTTTTTTTTTTTTTATATAATTGGGAGAAGAGGGATTCGAATCTTACTCTTTAGATAATGAGATAATGTACTAACCATTTATAATTAGGAGAAGAGATTTAAACTTGTTATTTAGACAAGGAGATAATGCATCAACTAATGAGACAAAATGCTTGAATGCAAATAGAATGGTAAATTTAAACTTTATAAAATTCAAATTTATCACAATACATTGAATGGTTTAATAATGACCAAAATAATTATGGTCAATTATTGAATATAAGGTTTGATAATCAACAAATGCTAACCAAATAAGAGAATTAAATTTTCTTCTTGAACTTTATATACCACACAATATTAATATTCAAAAATAAAAATAGAATATTTTTAAACTTTGAAAAGCATTATTTTCTACATACTTTTGCACCAATTATTTACGTTCAAATAGAAATAAAATGAAAATGTTGTTATATAGTTTTATTGATGGAATGGAATACTTGCTATTATGACTTATTACAATGTTTGGTTGGTAAAAAAAATTTTAAAAAATAAAAAAATAAGTGATAAAAAGATAAAAATACCTTTGACTATAATACATGATTATTTATTTTTATTTTATTTTATTTTTAAAATATTAATAATTTATAATTTATTTAAAATGTTAATCATTGATAATTCAAATTTTAAAATTTTGAAATTTTATTTATGCTGTAATCATTAATATTTTAAAATATTAATATTTTATTTATAATTTAAATATTATTTTTTAAATTATTTTTAAAATTTAAAATATTAATTTTTTACACTATATAATTAAGAACTTAAACTTTTTATTTTAATTTTGTTTTCATTTTCACTTATAAGGAGCATTTTTGTGTATTAATTTTAGAGGCTCACTCATGCAATAGCATATACCATGGGAGTTGGGATTAGCTAATCTTGATTTTGAGTGATTTTGGGAATTAAAATTGCAGAGAATGACTATTCCTTAAGTCATTTGGCAACCGAATGAAAGAACTAATATTCTCTACAATTGCAAATCTCATGCTCCTCTATTAAAACCAATACTTTTTTAAAGAAATAAGAATAATTTATACTTATATCAAAATAGTGCGTAATAATGAATAACATCACCTTGTATTAATCAGATATTGACAAGTTATATTTACAAAAATGAGAAAATTGTGAAAAATAACCTTTTTCATAAGTCTAATTCAAAAATATCTTTCATTATAATTTTAACTATTTTAGTCATTTTTTGACATGACTTGATAATAATACTCTTTAAATAATTTCAGATAAATTAAAATAATTTGATTTTCTCATAAAATTTTAAAAATAAATCTCGGTTTTTTTTTTTGCCAATGCTGTCTATCTCACTGTTGAGCTCTTGCTTGCCATCTCAAAGAACAAATATGACATCAAGGTATATATTGTAGGTTATTGGGTTTATTGGTTTATTTATAAAATCCTAAAGTTGAGGAGTTAAAGATTGATTAGATATATTTATAAATTAGAAAATTGTATAACTTTAACAATTTAAACCTAGCTGCGAGAAGGTAAATTAATTAGTTATTAAGTATTGTATTACTGGCTTTTAGATATTATGTTACTGATTTTTATATATTATGAGATTAGTTTTTAGGTATTGCGTGATTAGTTTTAGGTATTACGTGATTGATTTTTAGGTAATGTCTAAGTCACAATACCTAAAAACTAGTCACGCAATACCTTATTAACTAGTCACACAATGTCTTATTAACCAGTCATGTAATATTTAAAAATTAGTAACGTAAAGCTTAAAAATTAGTTTCACAATGCCTAAAAATCACTAAAACTATTGAATTTCCTTTAACAAAATTAATAACTTTAAACAAAATACTATATTCCATTTAACAATATAATCAATGAATATGCATACTAGATGAAGAATACTCAAAATACTCAAAATTTTCTTCATATATTAAAAACGACTCCAAAATGTTTAAAAATATTAAAAATGCTCAAAAGTTTTTCTTTGTGTATAAAAAATCACTCAAAAATACTCAAAATGTTTAAAGATTTTTCTTTCTGATAAAGAATACTTTAAAGATGAATGATTTACTGAGAAAAGTTCAAAGGATATGAATTGGTTTGAAACACAAATCTAAACATATGAGTCGATTTTATTAGAGGTAATTTTATCTAAAATTAATTTCTCTTGATTAAAAGTAGTTAAAATTATAAAAAAAGTTATTTTCAAAAATATTTTATGTATGAGAGGTAATTTTCATAAAAAGATTTCACTAAAAAACCATATTTATAAAAAAAATCCATCAAATGATTATATTTTAAGATGGTTTTTAATTCTTTGATGTGGCCTGGTATTTCCCATGCATATGATAAGATAATAAATTACCCTATTGTAAATATTATTATAACTAATTATATTGTTTTTCATTTATTGGGCAGATAAACGCGAACACAAGTACACTTGTACATAAACTATGTTACTCTATATTATTTTGGCAATGGAGGGGGAGTGGGACAGACAAAAACAGGCCACAGCCTAAGATGGATGCTTAAGCTATTGCCATTTATATACATATAAACATCAATTTACCGATTAATCATCCAGCACTAGTACGAAAAAGGCTGAGTCTAGAATCGGGGCAGGCATTGTTGTGGTTTCTCTCCCATTTTCTCAATTGTCCAAATCTCTCTCCGGAGATTTTCTGGGTGCAGAAACCAGCATATTCTTTTTCCCCAATGGGGTCTATGCTTGGTGACCTGCCGTCGTTTGACCCCCATAACTTCAGCCAACTTCGTCCCTCCGATCCTTCTAATCCTTCTGTAAGTATCGCAGAATCCTTTTTAAACCCAACCCCATTAACAAAAATACATGAAAATATGAATTCTTTTCCGGTATGATCTGAATAAGTTGTTCGTTTCAACTGTTCTGATATTGCAATAAAACCCACATGCGGTTTTAGATGAGTAGTGAAGAACTGGTAGATTTTTGTTATTAGGTTTCAGGGTTTTCCCAGATATGATGTTGGTGGATTCTTTTCTCAAAGCGCTTTTTCTGAATTTGGACCTTAAAAAATGCTGTAGTCCATATAATCAGTTAGTCGTCAGAAGCTTTTTGGATAAAGTTTGTTTGTGGTTACAAATGAATGTCTTGCTTCCGTATTTATAGGGGTTAAATGATTCTCGGAATTTCTACTCCGGTATTATTACACTTTTAGCACTTTTGTTGTTTGCGTTGCAAGATACATTTAACACTAGGATGTTTATTTATTTGATTGAATGGAATGTAATATGGAGATGTTACCAGGTGCAGCATCTGAGTTATGCAAATAGTACTTGTTATTATCTGTTTGCTAAAATGACAAAGATCTTTATACGGCACAAGCATTAGCCTGGAAATGCTTTATTGTATGGGAATGGCAGTTTCCTTAAAATGGTAGGGTAACTATTCATGAGCTTGTGATTTTGACCACTGCATGCTACTGTCAGCTTCTAAATCTACCAAGATTTTAAGCTCATGCTTTAGAAGCTTTTCAGATCTTGCTGTGTACTTGGTAGTTTAAGTTCTTAAGACTGGTTCTTAACAATGGTCAGGAAGTTCAATGTCTTAGCCAGGACAGTAGTTGAAAGTTTGTTTCTATGTGGGTATTGACAGAATTGCTTTGAGAATTTGTTGTTTTCTTGATAAAAAATTAATCCTATCCATGACATGGACATGCTATTGACAGAACCCATGGAATTGAGCTTTTGCATTCTAACTTGGGCACTGTTTTACTGGTGATTCGCATTGAGATAATGATTGTGCTAATGACATTTGGGCAGACGCTTGACAATGTCAGGAGAAAAGAGAGAAGGTGAAGGGATAGCCAAAAAAGGAATGGGAGATATTAGATCACTCTTTTTCTTTCCTTTATTATCTTCTTCTTCTTGGTCTACCTCCTGATCATTTTCTTGAAATTCTCACTTAATTCTAGTTTTGTTTAAATCGTGAATTTGTATAAGGTAATGTAAATGCTAGAAAGAGTTCGGTAAGGCAGGGTTTCACCTGGTAAAGAAGCTGCATGGTGAATTTTGAATTGCTGTCCTCTAGCACATGGTGCACTACAGGATATCAATTTCCTCTCATAGCATGCATACATGTAGGCTTATATGAATTTATGTATCTATATTTGTTTCAATAGTTTATAGTGGTTCCCTGCCTAACCGTTATAAGGTTTCCGATTAAGTAAGAGTTGTTGAAATGTCCAAAGGGTATAGAACATTTTTCACCAGACTTCCTATCCTTTTCAGCTATTTTAGCATGTCTGATGCTATGCCAATGCATGGAGTTCATATGGAGCTCCTCTATGTTTTCAAATGAAGAATTTATGACAAATTAGTCTTTCTGCTTTCAGATTGATAGTTTGGTCTTTAACAAAATTATGCTTACTTGTATGGTTTGTTACTCTGCTTGGATATTTAAGGAGCATAAAATGCTTCTCTTTACTTTTCAGTCATGTTAAGAATTGATTACACTTTTATCTTTTATACTTAACCTTCTCTTTTTGGCTAGAAAATGACACCTGCCACCTACCGTCCTACTCATAGCCGCACTCTTCCACCACCTGACCAAGGTACGAACAGATATTTTTCTCCTTGTTTTTACTTGTGAAACAATATTCTTGAGGAAATATAAGATATTATTGGCCTTATAAACTGTCTGCAATGGTACCATGATACCCTTTGGTTGGTTGATTCTTTCAGACTTTGTCTACATGGTGATAAATATATTTTAGAAGTTCATGTCCTATACTGTGATAATTATTTGGCTAGGTATCTTCTAGGATGCTGAATGTTGACTTCTGTTTGAGAGCAGCAAGTGCTGGAAATTATGTGGAGATGTCTGAGTTGGAACTTGATATGATGTCATTTTTCTGTAAAACTGGTATTGCCTTGACAAATGGGCTTCAAATAATTGGTATTGGACTGAGAAATTGATTTTTACATGGCACTCTATGCTTGCCACCACTGCTACTTGCTTACATTTTTTATTTATCATCTGTCTCTGAAATGGTGGAATTGCTTTACCATGTTTCTTTAGTTCTTTGTTTCCTTCTGCAGAAATCTATATGTCATAGATTATTCATCTGGAATTGTTCATCTTCTCTCAGTTTCGTTTTGATATTGATGAAGAATGGAGATTTCTAATTGGAAACCTGTGATTGATTACGTACTTGATTGAAATTGTTGTTTGAAGTTTATCAATTGGAATGAAATTGTTAAGTTGTATGTGTGTTCTAAAATGCCTGTGCTACAAATACAAAGGCACTACTAAATGAGATAGCATTCTGGTGCAGTGCCACAGCCACAGCTCATTAGCTTAAATTCTTGATTTCTTATTGTTATTTTTTTAATTGACCTGTGAACATTTTCTTTTTTTGTAACTGACCTCTCAAACATGTTCAACAGTTATAACTACTGAGGCCAAAAATATACTTATAAGAAATTTCTATCAGCGTGCAGAGGAGAAGGTTAGTAACTTGTTTATGATTTTTCATGTTATAACACTGCATTCAAATAAGCAGTCACTGATACAAATTCAAGGACATATGCATGCACTTTGAGAGTGGGTGTCTAGGTTCATTTAGTTTCTTTTTGCTTTTCTCATTGCAGTTGAGACCAAAGAGAGCAGCCACTGAACATCTAATACCAGATCATGGATGCAAGCAACCTAGGGCTTCTACCTCATAGTCGTGATGAGATTTTCTTGGGTTTCTTTGATGCTCGTGTAAATGTATATTCTCATATAAATGTGTTGTAGAAACTGTGCGGCAGTTGTAAAACGGGACACCACACATGTACATTTTGTGTGTAGAAATCAAACTTATAGCTGGGTTATCCCAATAACAAGGAGTGTTCTGTTTAGTTTTACATGTTCCGTTTGGTATTTCATTCCATGTGGCATGGCTAAATTGCTGAAAAGCTAAATCCATGTATGCTTATTTTATATGATGTGCACAGTTGCAGCTCTAAGTAATTACAGGTTTGAATATATTGCATGGACTCAAGGAGCTGCATAGTTTAATATAATATCCATTCTCCTGTTGCTTATGAAGTTAGTTTTTGCCTGTTACAATTACATAAATTGAAGGTTTTCCCTGTGGGGCTGCAGAAGACAAGAGTAGTTTGGGAATCAACTGAGATTCAAAACAACAGGTAGAGGTACGGAAGTGCGTTCCATCACTTCTTAACAGAATATTCCACGAGGTTCAAGACTTAAAAATCTGATATCCATTCATGTTTCACGGAGTTAAGGGTCGTTTTCTGTATAGGGTCTTCCAAATTTGGCAAAACATTAGGCATCTCAAAGTCTTTGAGTTTGACACCAATTTGCGCATACGCGATATCCTGGTGAAAAAACGTTTCCTAACGATTACTTGAGAATGTGGGACTCAATTTATATGTTGCAGTGGCTGCGTTTGCGCTTGAATGAATTTCAGTAAACACATTGGAAATGGGCCCTTCACCGGAGTTACACCCAGCGGTTGACAAATGGAAAGTAGACAACGAATGCAATTTCTTGGTTCCTGGAATTAAATACCTACATTTAAAATAAAAATTAAGAAAAACAAGGAAACAAATTACTGCCACAAATACCAAAAGAGATTAAAAAAAA